GTGATTTGCACTGGCCTGGCTTTGTGGAGGGGGAATCACCCCCTCCTCCCCACAGCTGGGCAGACCAGGGCTTGGGGAATCCCTGGTATTGGTCTCCCCCGATGTGGACAGATGCCGAGCTTGGGGGCTGGCCCTGGAAGGGGGGACTCCTTTCACCCTCTCCCCAGTGAGTCAGTGACTTGTGCTGGCCTGTCCTGGGAGGGGGTGGGGGCAGTGTATCCTGGGAAGCTGGGGGACTGGGATATAACTTGAATCGGGAGGGGATCTGGCCTAGAAGTAGAATAGACTGATTTAACTTAACTGTTTTAAGTCTGATACTACATCTATCCAGGTCTGTCTTAAACTGAGTTCAGCCATTTTGAAACCGGTTTATGTGCACTGGGCTTCTGTTTTGTTACAGGTTTAAACCTGTTTCTAATCACTTATACTGGTTTTATGTGTACCTTCTGTCCCTAGCCCTTGCCTTGTGTCTTTTCTATTGCCATTATAGGGCTCTAACCAGTTGCTATCTTTATCTAATAACATTGCATAATCTATTACTCAAATTTTAAGACTAATTTCAACACAATATCGTTATTATCAGTTGATTCTTTTAAACTAATTCTATCCTAAGCATAAATCTTCATCAAATTAATACAAAAGCTATTTCTAAATCTAGACAAAAATGCAATGTTATTTGTTTTGGGGCTAGGGTTGCCAACTCTCCTGGTTTGGCCAGGAGTCTACTGGACTTGGCATTGATCTCCCAGTGACTATTGAAAGCAGTCGGGGAGATTGATATTGTGAACGGGTTGAACACTACAATTAATGACATTACGTCATGTTGAGGGGGAAAAAAATCTCCTAGAATAATTTCAGTCAGAGTTGGCAACCCTGTTTGGGACATGTTTGTCATTTGCACTGTCAGTTTTCAAGACAATAAATTATAAGCTAGAGGTCTGAGGCTGATTCAGTAAACTTACTTAAAATAGTGATCCTGTTGAGGAAAAATTTCTTACTAGCTTCAATTGAAGGTTTTTCATTATGGCTCACAACTGAAGAAGTATGTTGCTAATTCGCACAGACTTCTGTGATTTGGACTTAGGTTTGCCTAAAATTGCCAGGGGATCAAGCTCCAAACAGGAAATCAACAGCAAAAACAAATGAGAGAAATGAATTAGAAGCTGTACATTTTAAAAAAAGGAAAGTGAAGTCTATGTTCACTGAAGCAATTAAGACAAAGTAAGGAGTAGAGCTGCAGCACTACTTTGAGACTAGTTAATATAAATAAGTAGTTAATGCTAACTAGATCCATTTAAATGCAGAGTCTGAGTTTGCACAATACCTGACGTCCTGTGGCTTTTGGTGTCTTATACTAGGAACCACGCAATTAAAATGTGCTCTGCAACTGTAAAGCTTTCTTACTAAGAACTCCTTTAGCATCTCTAGAGAGATGATTTGAATTGAATGTACTTATTCTACCACAGCAGTTTTACCAACATTCATAGATACTTCAATGCTGACTGTTTCCACTGTGTAATTTGTACGAGTAGAAATGGTGATTGACTTGAAGAGTTTACAGTCTAATATGAAACCTTTTTTCAAATGTCCTCAAGTGGTCAGAGACCAATATAAAAATATTTACTTACTACATCAAGAACAATAGTAATAGCTATTGTGTTGCATTTAAAACATACTGGAGCTGAAAAGTAAAGTTCAAACATGCACTTGCTTGCCTTACTTGATTTAGCTTCTTTGTATTAGAAACAAACATTTAAAAAATGCATTTTTCTCCGAGCAGTTCACTCTTAAACCCTAATTAATAGCTGTATTATAATAAGGCAAGGTGGCACGTGGAATTTCCCTCTAAGCAATCTTTCAGTTGATTAAAACTTAATGGAAGTGTACCTTTGGACTGATATTGGATCATTTGGTGGGTTTGGTTTGTGGATTTTTTTCTCTTTGTTTTAACTGGAGCAAAAGTGGTATAGCATTAACCAGTTGGAAGACAGTTAGGACAGTATTTCAGACATTTGTTTTAAAAAAACTAAAACGGTTTGCAGACTTGTTTGGAACAAATCTAGCACTTCAGTGGGATATTGTAGAAACTTGAAATGCTATAAAGGATTCTGCTGGCATTAAGACTACTCATTACAATGTAGTAATGTCTCTACAAACTCTTTAAAAACTAGGAACCATGTTGGCAGCTATATAATCTTGGTTTTACACATCACTTGGTATCAGCTCTTGAAAAATGGAAGAAATAAGAATTAAGTTTAGCCACAGCACAAGTGACCACTAGGCATTGTTGCATGTTCTGCAGCATAACACAGTTCTGAGATAATCCTGTTAACAATTTGACTCCATCGCTGAAGTTAGATAGGAAGGTCATACTGGGCACGTTTACACATGCAGTCGATGTGACTCTAGCTCAATTTGAGCTGGAGTAAACTAATCCTGCTGTCATTGTCTATCTGTGTATTTAAGCTCAGTAATTTACTGCACTTCTAGATACTGCTTGAATCTGCGACTATCGTATCTGGCAGTGCAGTAAATTCGTCTGCTATACCTTAACTGTCACGTACGTGTAGACGACGACACTTTTTATTTTGCAGCAAATTAGTCTGCTGTGCACTAAAGCGTCTTGTGTAGATGCATCCATGGTATAGCAAAAATGCTTGAGAATTAAAAATTAGATTTTTTTTTAAAGGGTTTTGTCAACCTTTAGCAAGGGAGAGAGATACGATTGTGGTTAAATAATGAACTGTGACTAAGTTGAGTTCCTAGTTGTACCAGAGACTTCAGTTGTGATTTTTCTTACAATACTTCTGTCGCCATGAGGCTGTTTTGAAAATAAATTAATGTTTGAGGTATATAGATGTTTTATTACTAAGTAGCTGGGCACAGGAATCTTGACCAAGTGTTCAAATGTATAGGTCTAACTGTAGACTTAGGATCCTGGGTTGAGCATTCATCATATGATTTTCTACCAGCTTCTGGATGGTATACCTGCCACAGTGTCTTCATGTTATGAAGAGCTAAAATTGATTATTTTTATTTCTGGTCTGTGGACTTGTTAAACTGGTTGGTTTGCAGTGCAGTTCTAAAATGCTGATGTACTTTACCTGAAGAAGAAAGAAAAGCATGCTGAAAAATTACTTGATTTTGAATCATGGAAGAAATGTAATGGACGCTTTTCAAGGCATACAGAGGACGTGTACCTATGCTTCACTTTTTTTTTTCTTTACCTGTAGCTACCAGGTGACTTTCACACTGTCACTGGTGAATAGAATCAGTTTAGTTGCATACAAGAAATTAAATATTTGTAGTTCTGTTCCTACAAGGAACAAAAGAAAATTCTGAATTTGTTTTTTAAAGAGAACCCAGGGGTGAACAAATGACTTGCAAGATATAAACAAACCCAGGTTACATTTGCTTACCAAATATGGACTGGAGACAAAACTCATACTTTAAGCATAGCACAGCCGGAACAAAGCAGGATTTATAGAGAACTACTTTGGCTCTTCAGTCCCAAAGAAGGAAATGTAGTATTGATTGAAGGCCAAAGTATAAACCAGTGAAATAAATGTATTGTACCAAATAACCTATCTACTTCAACATGGAAGTTACTTGTTGAATGTCCACGGAGAAACCCTAGTTGAAATGTCACTTTCGGAGATCACTTTTATTCTGTGTTAGTAATGCTTATTTTTGGGTTGATTGTCGGTGTTCTGGAGTGTTTATTTTTCTGTACTTATGTTTATGATGTTTTTGCCTTCTGATTCCTAGAACACAACTGAATCTTCAGGAGCAGTTGAGACCTTGGCTGATGTACCTGAACATGTGCTTAAAGGGCTTCCTGAGGAAGTGAGGCTTTTCCCATCTGCTGTTGACAAGACACGGCTTGGTAAGTGCTGTAACTGTAAAAGGAGTGGGGAATTTACAGCTCCAAAATAACACAAGCTGGTAGTTATGGGAAGTGAAGACTTAAAGTAACCAAACTATTATTTATTTTAGTTCATTCCGAATGAGCTTTCCTTTTTACTCAAACTAAAAATAAAATGTGCAGTCAGTCTGGTGGGAATCCTAAAAATACCTTTTAAAGAACAACTGCTGCAGTTGCATAGTAATGAGATTATATTTTAGTGTGGGGGTAAAATGGAAAAAAGCCCTGGCTTTTTTGGCCCTGATTTTTTTTGACTGCATGACTCTCACTGATGGAACACTAGATAGCTGTTAAAACCTCCCTTTTCATCTGATAAAGTAACTTGTCATTTGCAAATTCTTACTCGATGTTATGATTCCTATATTTCTATATTGCTTTAGTCCCTGTTCACTTCCATCCTATTAGATTAAACAGTTTCTCATATTAGTATTCTTACGTAGTAACTAAGGTAGATTTCTCTTTCCTTGCGATAACTTGACTCTAACATGGAGAGTGAAAGTAAGCTTCTGTTGATACCATCCTATATGATCCACAGTGGACTGGCTGACCAGTCTCCTGTTAGCAAGTTTTACTTGCGAGTTCTGACCAAAGATTGATCTGTAGCATTTGTGCAGAAAGTTTAAGAGATTGGTGAGGGATTCTGAAATGTAGGTGCATGCTGGTAATAACTGTTAGTTTAAACTCTCTGAGGCAGGGATAATGTCTTCCAGTAGGATCCTGATCCTAATGGGATACCTCAAAGAGCTTCCATAATGCACTCATCTTGAATTCATAAGTGATATTTAAAGTAGGAGAGGAGTTTTGATACTGTACTCTTAAAATATATGTTAGTATAAATATTGAGATCTTGGGTGAGGAAGGAACTACATTGCAGAAAAAATAAGCAAGGTCTAATTAGAAATGCCATTCATTGATTCGTATCAGATGTTGAGAAGATGACAAATGGAAGTTTCTATTTCTAGGATGATTTACCTGTCAGTGGTATAGTAAAAGTGAAAGAAGTTGCTAAAGTATGTATCAGAATCTCACGAAAACAAAAATGCATCTTTCCTTTGTAGCCTTACATTTCTGTACCTTGCAAAAGTTCATTGTGTTTGCATGGAATTTGTCTGAAGTTCCCGTGAAGGACAGAAGGGTTGAGAGAGAGTGGTTTGGAAACATCATTAGTAAAATTGCAGAGAAGTCAAGTTGGGAGGGACCTCAATAGCTTTTATCTGAATTCGATATCTTCCATGTTACAGCTTTTGTCTGAGCACTCAAAAACTGCTGCTAAGTTATTAGCGACTGTGAATGGGTTAATGCTTGCTTGCTGACCCGGAGACAGGGCAGCAGTTTTGCAGCACAGCCTCTCCACGAAAAGAACAGATCTAGGCAACGCATTGAAAAACTCTTTTGTGCATTCTCCCTTGCAAAAGTATGGTGCATGTTTTATTTTGGGGGGCATGTAGCATCTGAGAAAATACAGTAATTTTTTCTCGATGGGTACATTTTTTAATGCCATGTAACATCTTTGGAATGGACTTTGCTGTCCATTTTTAAATGTAAGTATGAAAATACTTTTTCCCTAGAACCGTCTTCAAATAACATTTCATAAGCATTTCTTTAACAACATATTCACTCACCAAATAAAACAGGCACCAAGATAATAGTGGAAGGGATTGTGAATATAATTTGATTGTACTTGAGGAGCTGGCAGGTCACCTTTGTCTCTAGGCATAAAAATTAGGGCCACGGATACATCATAACCAGAAGAAAGGCCTCAAAATAAACAGGCTTAATTGGAGTTCAGTGGGTCTGTCTCTGGTGTTAAATGGTCCAACATCATCTGCAACACGTATCATCTGGTTCTTGAAATATTCTGAACACGTGTAAGATGGAGGGTGAAGGTTGTCTGTATTTCATCAGATGAACTTTCTTCTTTACAAACTGACTTTAATATTTTGTGTGGTTATTTTTCTTTTGATTTTTTTTTTTTCTGTTTTGTATATTTAATACTCTGGTAAAATGTAAAGGTGCTAAGAAACTTATTTAACTTAATTGCAATGATGAATTTTAACTTTTCAGGTGTTTGGGCAACAAAGTCAATTTTGAAAGGCAAAAAGTTTGGACCATTTCTTGGTGATAAGAAGAAAAGATCCCAAGTTAAAAGCAATGTGTACATGTGGGAGGTAAGAAAATAGCTGGTTATGGAAGTATCCAGCCTACAGTTGTATGACTTTTGTAACTGATGATTAATTTTTCAATATTTATGCAGATTTTGATCAGAACTATTTCCATTATAAAAATGCACATATTGCAACTTCAAATAGCAGACTGCAACCACGTGGGATTACAAAGCTAAATGTCAAGTATGCATTTTGTATAGTAACAATAATCATCTTCCTGTAAAAGTTCCTTGCTGATCAGGCTTGGCTTCCTGTTGCTTGATCCTACAACCACCCCCCTTCTGAAGCGGGGGTTGAGCACCATCAGCTCCCACTGAAATCAATAGTCTTACAGTCTCTTGGGGAAGTCCTTGGCACCTCACTTGATCCAATAATCCAATGGCATACCATTGGGCTGCCTCTGTACTTGCACTTCTTAGCTGGTCTTTGCCAATATGCAAACACTTCTATAAGCTATAGACAGACATGCCAGTTGCACTGCTCTCAAAGAATACCTATACAAGCTGGTAAAACTCTTACATCAGCATGTTTGTAGAAGTAACAAACTGAAGGGAGTAAGAATGGGAAGCTATGGTAGTAGCACACAGTTTATTAGACTTACTATAGGTACAATTTACAGGTTTGTTGTTTTGTTTTTTTTAAAGATACTAAGGGTGTCTCTAATCCCTGCCGGCCGCTAGCCTTATAAAATAAAACAAGTTGTGAAGTATTCTGTGTACACATGCAGGCATCAAACAGAATGTCGGTCCCTTGTGGAGATTTCTCTAGAACCTAAAATGATAGTTTTTCAGAAATGCAAACCAGTGTCCAGTTAAAAAAACAAAACAAAATGCATTTAAATAGAACGCCAGATAAGTCAACAAATGCCTCAAGACATCAAAGCAGGATACAATAGACTGTAGTATCTCAGACACTGAGCTAGTACAGGAACAAGTAGGAAGATGGAATCCCAATCGAGTAAATTATTGACCTAAAGTCACTTGTTTCTCTTGGGGCACTTCTATGCCATTGTGGTAGCATGCTCTGGCTGGAACATTCCTGAGCACACTCCACACCACTTACCCACTCCACCGGCACTACTGAGTACTCCTCAAACACATGCCTGAAGAACAGCCTCCGAGGAATACCCTGGAATGTTCTTGGTGACATACTTCCAGGGTTGGAGCAAGTCAGTGGAAGCAGATGGGTGGCATGTGCTCAGGGCTGTCCATCTGGAGCATGCTGCTGCTGCAGTGTAGCCATGTCCAATTCTGGACATTCATGCAGTGGAACTTTTACATCAATAAAGTATTTATTCTAATAGATAAATATATCTGAAATTCAGTTTCAGATTTTTAATCTGCATTTTTCAGGTATTTTTAAAAAGTTTATAATTTGCAGTAGTTGGCCACCCAACTTAATTTGCCAAGATATTGGGATGATTTTCAGATGCAAGAATCTTAATTGTAACACAGCATGTCATGTGGCAGCTTACTGCTGTTTTTACAGTGGTCCTTTAATATGGTCATGACTTACAGAGCTACCCTAACTAAAAAATTAATAATAATACTGTAATGCAAAATGGCATTTCCGAACCAGCTGTGTACATCAGAGCTCCCTGTGTGTGTGTTTCTTTTTGAAAGTACACTTAGAGTGGCTGGGGAAAGGTCTTTTCCTTCTTGGAAGAAGTGGCTGAACAGAAAGTGATGGAAGCCCAGAATTTGAAATACTGGTGAGCCATCTAGGCCCCGTCTATCAGGGATCATTGATAGTCTTACTGCCGTGGAGAGGTGTTAACCCTCTTCTGTTTCCTAGTGTTTAAAAGGTCTACATTTGGTAGGGTGGAGTTTCTTTTAGTTGAATGATGTGGTGTTATGTTCAACTATGCTTTCCATACTGTTAGATGTCCCATATTAGTACAGCACTCTGTACCACTCTTCCATTTCAACTGAACAGATCATTTTTACAGTCTTTTTATATTTACATTTCCAGTCGGTGTAACTATGTACTCTGCTATTTCAAGGAATTGGCCTGCTGATGAGCATGCCCTCAGAAATCAGCTGACAAAATCTGAGCTGGAACATTTTGATGAGGAATGTTATTTCTTTCTAGCTGTTGCATGGCTAGAGGATTAACAAAGGCTCATCAAAATTTGAAAAATCTGATTTTTACCCCCAGTCAGCAACACCTTTTATGTTCCACCACAAACTAGAATGATATGGACTCTACAGAAATACATTTCAGTAAACCGCCCTTGTGTTTAGACCCATTTTTTAAATGTAACATCAAATAAAGACACGTAAAATTTGGGGAAGAAAACATTGCTGTACAACTGTATGTCAATTAAACATCAGAAATAATTAAAATAATGCAGCTTCATATAACAAAAATGGAAAACGTGAGGTGAAGTCTGGATTTCAGTTTATTCCTCAGGTCTGCAAGAGATTGAGCTTTGTAAAGAAGCTTGCTGAAGCTGCAGGATAGCCTGGAAATCTTCTCTTATATAAATAAATGCATGCAAACAGGCACCCCCGGGCCCCGCTCAAAGCATTTTTTTGAACTAAAGATGTCGTAAACATAGAAATGTGCAATGATTTTTTCAAGATGAGCGGCTCATTATTTACAAATTATGAGCTGGAAATCACAACTTCCTGGCTGGGATGATGTAGTTGGGGCTGGTCCTGCTTTGAGCAGGGGGTTGAACTAGGTGTGACCTCCTGAGCTCCCTTCCAGCCCACATTTTCTAAGATTCTAAACTGTGTCCGTTGTCTGTGCTAAAACCTCTTATCATTATTCCATCCATGCTCCCCTTTCATCCACTTATTTGTTTCTCTCACATGTTATGTCAGCATCTTTTATGCTACAGGTGCTTTGGAGACAAATCAGTCTCTTGCTATATACTTCTTACATAACATAGTACCAATTAACCCACTCTTCTTGCTAAATGTAAAAGAGCAAGCAAAGAGAGATTGTCATCCTGTGTATATACAAAGACATTTTAAAAATAATTTTAGCTAGCACATCCATTCTATCATTGTAGGCAGAAGACAAATTAATAATTTTGAAATTAAGACTAGATCATGACCAGGCTTAACAAAAGAAAACTCTCATCTCTGGCAGTATAGCTTTACTCTCCAAAAAGCATTTTTATAATGCTCTTTGACTACGGCAGCAGCTTAAGCCACGTGTTGTATAGGTGCAGACATTTTTGCCATTGTCTTCTGAAACTGCTCAGTAGACAATAGTACTGTACTGTTGCTAACACTAGGGAACTGTATCAGCACTGAACAAAGAGTGCAAAAAGACAAAGACCGTAGAGAGGTTGGGATTGTAATAGAGAGACTCATTTACAGATGAACTGACATTGATAGATGGAACAGAAAGGAGCAGAAGCAAATACTAAACTTTAAATAATCAGACTTTGAAAAGATACTCATCCCTTTCTTTTCAAAAGTGACCTAGTACTGATAAGAACAGCCTAGTACTGATAAGTCAGCCTACATGCATGTATACGGAGGTAGGAAAAAACATTTTAAATCATGGAAAATAAGATGTCTCCTACTGCCAAACAGTGGTTATTTCTGTGGTTGGGAAAGAACATTTGACATTTCAGGATACCCGTAGGCCCCTGCTTCACCTTACATCTATTACACAATTAACTAGTTAAATACGCAAAGACTGGTCACACATGCAAAGTAATTATTACACCATAAAAATGACTTTCCAGCTTAAAAAAAAGCCAACCAGCTACTAAGTTAGTGCTTGAAAATGTGTAAGAATGCTGTAGCTGGTTCTACCAGCTTTGAATCTGAATGGGTAGGTAGCAGGACTCTTATAGACACCTATTTTTCATTGTGATGGAGAACATGGTTGGTATGTGGCGTCTTGGAAAAGAATCATATTTTATAAGTTGGCGGCCAACACTGATCGTTTGTCAGTATATTGACTGTATTACAATCAGTTCTGAAATGAAAAAGATGATTAAATGGAGTTACAAACCAGTTCTCCTGGAAATAAAACTGAAAAATGCATGTGGGACTTGGAATATAAACTATTTTAAACTTGTAGTTTGCTAAGCTTAATTAAGGAGATCAAGTGACTTTTTAAATGTTAGGATGTAATTTACCCATTGAAGACCAATAATAAGTAAACCTACTTTCCTTACTTGTAGCTTTCAAGTGAAGCTAAAAGGGTAAACTTTTCTAATGTTACTTTTCCTATTCCATCAAATAATAAGAATAACAAACACCTTAATGCATTTCTATATTGATCTAACATTTTCAGATAGAAACTGTTCTTTGAGACCTGATAAATCGAAAGAAAGTTAAATGTTTATGCTAATTTTAAATTTAATGCAGCTTTAATTACTGTTGTAGGTTTAATTTAAAACATAACTATACAATCCTGTTCAGCTTGAACTATTACATGAAATGCTTAATTTAAGATCACCTTCAGACAGAGAGGCTCAAAATCCATATTTTTGCAGAAATCTTGTCTCGTCTAGAGGAATGATTTATATGTGATAAATAGTCAGTGATGAGCACATTAGATCAAGTAGTAAGAAAGTACCAGTTGTGCACACATTATTTTTAACTTTTGTGGCTTTGTCAGTGTATCTCTTTTCTTAATTTCACAGTGCAAACAGCATCAAGGTCTGGTACTGAAAATGTGTACACTTGGCAGTTTTTTTTGCCTTTCATCTGGGAGGAGAAGGGAAGTCTAATGAGCTATTAAAGCATTAATTTGTTGTACAAACAGAAATAGTCTGATTTTTCCAGTTTGACTTTACTGTTTTTCTATAATAACAGTAGGTGCTTTTTTTAGCACGTTCCTTAACAGTTTCGTTGTGGGTACTATCAGACATACAGGAACTATTAAATAGTACAACTCCAGTATTTGCCAGCACAGAATAAGAAACTTTGAAAAATCAAGCCCAAATAAACACATTCAGTCAAGTTATTACTAGTTACTTGTTCTAGTGCACCAAGCACAATGTTACCTGATGTAAACTGTACATTCCTACAGTTGAAAGGCTTCCTTGTAAAGCTCACCTACTCTTTCCTTAGTATCTTTAAGTGGCCTTCCTTAAGTCAAATCCTGACTCAACCAAAAGTTGCGAGAGTTCTGCCAAGGGAAGTCAGGAATATTACCTCTTCTGTCTGTCCAGATGGTAGCTATTAGAACTGAAGGCTTAAGCCAATTAGTCGATGGCAGGGAGGACAGGGATGGGGACAGGGACACAAGAACAGCCAGAGTTTTCGCAGAGACTGAGGGAGAGTACATTTCTGCTCTCCAAGCCTCCTGGGAAATATGCAATATGCCAAGTTTCAGTAAAATACTTAACTTGGTATAATGCTTATAAATAAGATTATCAAAATACTCCTTTCTGCCATAAGTCTTTGCAATATATTTCTGTGTGGTCAGGATGATTATTTTTTCTGCCTGCTGAAGAGGAGTAAATGTCTTTTTTTTTTTTTTTCCTTTTTCTCTTTAGGTGTATTACCCAAACCTGGGATGGATGTGTGTTGATGCCACCGATCCAAAGAAAGGGAACTGGTTGCGGTATGTGAACTGGGCTCGTTCTGGAAAAGAGCAAAATCTGTTCCCATTGGAGATCAACAGGACCATTTACTACAAAACATTAAAGGTAGCATTGTTGGAATAGTCAGTGATTCTTTCTCTTTGTTCAGGATCCTGTTTCTATTTAACTTTTCAGCTTAAACTTAATTTTTGAATAGCTTTAGAACAGGGATGTCAAACTCATCCAGCCCCAGAGGCTTGATGAAGGGTGTTGGGCTGATCTGTGGGCTGGATCAGGCTGCGCTGGAACCAGCATGCTGAGCTGATTGGACAGGGTGCTACATGCATCAGACATGGCTGTTCCAGTCCCACATGCTGCATGCAGCAAGTACTGGCCCCACTTGCGTCGTTCTGCATGTGATGCTGGCATTGGGGCACATACTGCGTGGGGCAGCCTCCTGGACTGGCCCTGTGTGTTGCTTCCAGGGCTAGTCCAGATCGGGCCCCAGGTTGTCCATGCATGCCAGAGCCAGTGTACAGGGCTATTCTGATGGGGTGTTCCATGCAGTGTGCTCCCCACATGAGAGCTATGCATCACATGCAGAGCAAGCCTTGGAGCAGGGCCAGCACGTGCTGCACACAGCACAAGGGACCGACCATACATGGGGCCTGTGCTGTGTGCTGTGCCCTGCTGGACTGGCCCTGTGCACTGGCTTTGGCATGGCCCAATGTAAACCAGCCCTGGACCCAAACCAACCCCCTGTGCTGCACACAGTGTCTGTGATGCCTGGACCAGCCCATATGCCAGATGGGTCAGTCTGAGGTCCAGGGGCTGGCTCATAGTGCTCCATGGACCAGATCTGGCCCATGGGTTTTATGTTTGACACCCCTGCCTTTAGAAGATTCACTTGAAATATTGCAGATACTCAATTCTTCAAGTTCATTATTTCTTCATAGTTAAAATGGCAATTGAAAGCCAATCTTACAAACTAGGATATGCAGGAACACTGAGATTTATATTTGTGTTAAAGGTTTGATACACTGCCACTAGTCTGGTCAAGTCAGTCCCGAGGCCGCTTGACTGTTGGGGCATCTTAGATGCTGTAACAATCCTTCTCTACTCCGCCCTATGTTTGGCTAGCTTTGTGCACTGTGTCAGTTGAAGCCCCATCCAAAGCCCCATTATGTTGCCAGTGTAAATACAAATTTATGTGCAAAACTTACTATAAGTGATTACTGTTGACTCTTCAGTTGCCAAGGATGCTCAAGATGCACGTTATTCACAATAGCCAGCTTGAGAGATTTTCAGAAAACAACAACAACAAAAAAGATTGTGGATCTCCCAGACTCAGTTTTGCAGAACGTTTCTGTGAAGCAGTTTTTTGTATTTCAGAATGCCTAGCCTAAGATGCATTTAACAAAAAACAATCCCACTACTTCAGAGGCTTCAATATGTTGTAAGAATTTTAAAAGGCTAATTCTGCTTTGTTCTGGTCTTTTGCACCTGTGATTAAGGGAAGTATTAATATACACTGATAGCTGTTTCAAATAAGGTAATGTAGTATGATGTACATTTATCTTTGCCATCGCTATGGCAAACAGCTGTGTCTTATTTTATATGTCAGCAAAATGATAGACATCTAAAAGTAAACTGGTGGTCACCTAAGGATAAGAAGCTATGGATATGATATCATTCAGTATTGAGGCTTTTATATCTTAACAGTGCCTTGATGTGATGAGGAAGTTTAGTAAGCTTAAAATTGTTCTACACATGTTCTCTGAACTGCATGATTTTTAAATGTATGGTCTACAGCAGGGGTGTCAAACTCAACCAGCCCCCAAGGCCAGATGCAGGCTGCAGGGCTCTTCGTGGGCTGGATCTGGAGCTAGAGGCAGTGATGGTGAGGTGAGCAACATAAGGGAGCTGCAGGGATTAATGCAGCCATTGCTCACCCGCTGCCTCTGACACGTGTCCTGAATGGGGCTCCATATCCTGAATTCAGCAGTGGGCCCTGACCCCGAATTACTAGGCCCTGGCTTCTGGAGTCACTGTGGTGTAACACACTGCATCCTTTCTGCAATGATGTAGTCTTTGAATCAGTCGGTAAGCAACAACAGGAATAAAGCTTTTGAATTTATTCTTCACATGGATGGTTACTACCTGATGGCTTATCATGCTGGTAATGGAAGCTAAGAGTTATTGATGGTACAGATTATCTCTGTTCACAAATGTATCACTTCAGTATTTGAAATGGTCCTTGTAATTGGACTACACTCTCCCATTGGGATGGATTCAGTCCTAATAGGTCTTGTCGTACCATTACTAGTCACCCCATGTAGTTCACACAGTCAAATAGCACCTCCTGATCAGAAGCTACTGATAGAATCCACATTATCAGTGTAGAAAACTAAGATCTGTCACATCATATGATCAGTTTGGAAACTAGATGGGAAGAAAAAAATAGTTTCGAGTTTTTTACCTGCAGATCTACCACTTTTTTCCAAATATGAGAAATTCTGTATGAAATAAATTAGCATAAAAAATCCATTCAGTTTTTGTAAAGTTTTTTTTTGTATTTATTTCCTGCAACTTCTATTGTACAACAGAGTCTGTTTGAAGCCACTTAGTACTTCTACACAAAGACCTGAAAGCCTGGCTGTTTTTCAGATTCCAAGCATGGATTTGACTAAACCCTATTCGTTGCAAGTTTTAAATACATAGATGTGTGGTTTCCTGTGCAGTAAATGGGAACAGCACAGGTTATAATAAGGCTCCCATTCCAATGCTGCCTCCCATTGGCAAAAAAAATGTATAAACTCATATGTAATAACAGGAAGTAAATAGATCCACGGTGGAACAAACTGTGGCTCGCAAGCTGCATGCAGCTCACCGGCACAGTACTTGGGGCTCTCTCGAAATTGGCCAAAGTCCTGCCTGCTTCTCCCAGAGGCGGCTCCAGGAGACAGCGCAGCCCTGCACCTCCCACCGCTCCAGCTTTCCCACTTAGGAGCACGCCCCAAGCCCACCCTTCTCCTTCCTTCTCTCCCTCCAAGACTGCCAGCTCAGGCATTGGGCTGCTGGGGCGAGGACTGCAGCCGCAGCGCTTACCCTGGGGCACGCTCCCCGCAGGGAAAGCCAGAGTGGGGTCAACTCCACTATGGTTCACTCAGCAACCCCCCCTTGCTCTCCAGCTCTTGAACTTTGGTGGGGGATCAGATGTGGCTCCCAGGGTGAGTAACTCTGTCCACCCCCAAAATAGATCTACCTCTACAGCAATGCAGATTGTCCGTTACATTTGAAAGCATTTGTTTCAGTATTTTTGCCCTTCCTATTCATATACTTTTTTGAGGAGGGGGTTATTGGCTAAACTCTTACCCTTCTAGTTTGTCACGCCTTGTGAAGCAATGAAGAAAAACATTTTAACACTGGAGGTTAAAAGGGTTCTTGGCAACATTTTACCTTCTATATAGGGTCAGTTTCCTAATACAGTCCAAGCGTTGGAGAGTCACTTAAGCTGCTGACAGACATAAAAAACAAAAAATTGCACTTTATGGGAAGAAGCAGCACGCTAGTTAGACCTGGCTCCGCAGCATACGTATAAATTGGGTGCTTCAGCAGGGCTTTTTGACGCTTTTATTTAAAGCCGATTCAATCAGCTATTTAGATAAAAATGCCAAAAAAGCCCCACTAAAGCACCTGATCTATACTGATATTGGGCAAGCCAGGTCCAACTAATGTGCTGCCTCTTCTGGGCATGCGCTGGGCTTGGTGGAGGGGTACACCGAGTTTTAAATTGCCAGGTTTTTTTCACTTCTGTAAGCAGCCTTAGATACTACAACATGCACTAAAAAGAAATGTGTGTTAGGCAGTAATTATACTTTGTAAGTTTTCAATAAGAATACTTGTTTTTAATCTGGAATTTTGTTTGGTACTCCTCAACGATGTCATGGTAACTATAATTAAATTAAAGGAAACGGATATTAAGGAAACTTGCTTGATCCACAGTGCTGCAAAACCTAGTATTTTGTAGCTATCTGAAATAACTACATAAGTGCTCGGTGTCGTGTGTGTTTATAGGAGGCAGATTCCCAAGGTTAAACTATTGGAAAGAAAAGCATGCAAATAATAGCTGCAAAGACTGAACAAATGGACAGAGGATCACGTAGGAAAGATTTCCGATTTCTTGAGGCTGAAGAGGCATATTGCCACATGGAACAGTTTAAAATATACAAAATCATCTCTTCTGTTGGATTAGTTTGTCACCATACATGCCTCAAATGGCTTCTTTCTTAAGGAACCCTCATCTCTTTTAGTAGAGTTTACTCTTCCCCGGTAGTCTTTTTTTAATTTGTTTTTTTTTTTTGTAAATAAAATATATAAAAAAAATAGCATATAGTTCTGTCTCTATTGATAACACACTCTAATATTAATTAACATTTATTTGTTTAAATGGGCCTGCCTCCTATAATCAACTAACATTCTTTGTCTGATTCAGATACTAAGTTAGCTAGGGCAGAGAATATGCCCTTGTTTGAAATGGTATGTAACCACAGATACCATAAATTTATTCAGATGGCTGAAATACTCTCCATGTTAGTTTGAGTACTCTTGCAGTCAGCATGCCTTTAGGAAGATTTGCAGTGTCACTGCTGTTCTCTCACAGAACTATTGTGGTGTATTTATGTTCAATGTCCTAGCCTTTTAAAATTGTCATGAACTTGCCACCTCGGGCACACAACTAATTGCCCTGACCCTTACTGCAGTGATTCACAAAAAAGAATAAAATTAAGTGTATTTTACTTGGTCGCGAAAATAAGGAAAAATAAATGTTGTAATGCTGGCATCTATGTAGCTTTTTATCGTTATTTGATTAGTTGGCATTTAAAAGGTTTTCACACACAATTAAAAATAGCTCCCATTTAATTATTCCAAATTTTCAAGTTTCTCTTACGTTCTTGTGGATTTTTAGACTGTAATTTAAGTAGCCTGATTTCAAAATGTGAAAATATTATCATAAAGTTTAAGAAAACCACTTGGCCAAGATGAGCAGAGTCTGTCTGAGCTTGTTTGCTAGAATAGAATCTCAAAGCCATGTAGATATTTCATTTTCTTTATTGTGTCTGTTA